CGTAAGAACTCGAGATCTCGCGAAGTGGCATAATGCGACATGCCAAACAAAACTACCTCTTTTGTACATTATTGTGTGCATGTGCACATATGGGCTCTAATAAGGGTATTCCAAAGCGCAGCAGATTGAATAAACGTATTTTTTTCTTGAATTGAGGTAACCAGACACCAGGTCTTGAGCTAGCAAGGGAAGATAGACTACTAAATTAAATTAAAAGGTTCACTTACCATCTGACGATCAAAAACAATAAGCTTAAAGTGATAGTGGTGGTAGTATACTGGACATAGCCATGTTTAGCAATTAGTAACTACTATTTTACAACTGCATAAATCGTCTTTCCAGTTCATGATACTCTGATGGCGGAACAACTTTCGGACAAGGATGGCTACCTAAATTTGTCAGGCAGCGACACCGAATGGTCCAAGATCGACCCCAAACTTAACATTTATCACAACTGTGAGGACGAAAATGTTGTAAGTATTTAATTTATGGCTGTTTGGGGAGGGGAAGGAAGGAAAAGGGATGAACTTTTAAATTGTCATAAAATTCTCTACTTGAAAGTTGTCAATATCAACGAGGTGAACCACTTTGTTGCCCTCGGGGAGAGTAAGAAATCTCCAGTTTGAGCTTATATTTGAACCAAACTCTCTTTGGTCAATAAGGATCCAAAAAAAATCTGAGAAGATAGGATCTAAAGAAAATCTGTGAAGATATTTATGTGTTTCATACTAAACTATGTAGTCTCAAATATAATGCTTAGGAATGCTGGCGGAAAGTCGAAATAAAAATCCCAGTTGACTTCATTACTGAGGGAGGAACGCCGGATAAGATCTTCGATATAGGAATTCTCAATCTCAATGCGAAACTGCCAGGAGAGACCCGAGACTGTTTGAACTAGACATTTCTTTTTTACAAAAGATCTCTTTGAATAAAAACTTTAAATATGGTGATGAACATTCACAATTCAATAGTCCAAGAAGTTTCATTTTTTTAAAATTTCAATATACTGATATAGTGCTACTGAAT